GCATTACATCTATGTTTAAAAAAAAAAAGCATACGTGTTTATAAGGAATAAGCCGACATGGGCAGCGAGCCTGTGCGTCGACTGTAGTTGTGTCCAAAACATAAAGATTAATAATCAAATGCAAAAAATAAATAAATGACATGTGATATGATGTGGTGAAAATATGATGTAAATGGAGTTACAAGAAACAAAAAATTGTGAGATGAATAGCTATGTGAAAAAAATATTAGGTGGCATAACTAAGTTTAAATAAAAATAAATGAAATGTAATGGTGACAGGAATTCTACGGCTTTCAAAGTGTGTCTAGAGGAGGTGGGGCGGGCGGCGGAGAACGAGTCAGGGTACAATGGTCAGGTCGCATGTCGTGTCAGGAGCGTCTGTGTCTGTAATCAGCTGTGATGATAAGCTCAGCCTCGTCCCTGCCTAGACCAAGTAACCACTCATTGACACGGCCTTTAAATATGTTTAAAGTGGGAGAGTGAAAGAGATTAACACTTTGAAAATAGTTTTGTAAGTTACGAAATAGGACGTGTGCAATATAAAATGAGTTGGTCGATGAAAAGGATTTGTACAGTTGTAGTGATGTAATTCCAATTCGGGTAGAATATCTAGTATTATGTGTATGGGAAATTATAGAGAAAATGTTGGTATAATTTTTAAAAATATGACTTAAAACATTTTTTATGAAAAGTTGTCTGATCGTTAAAACTGACACGTCCTTAAAGAGAGTGTCAGATGGGTAACGCCTGCACTTCCCAAAACCAATTTTTAATATTAACTTTTGTGTTATGTTTAATGGCTCTAAAATACTTTTAGAACAACCCCCCCCCCCCCCCCAGCTTATGATTCCGAAGGATAAAAGTGATTGAACAAAAGCATAGTACATTAATTTCATTTCACTTTCATTTAGAATCTGATTCAGCTAGCATAAATATATTTTCTAATTTTACTGTTTAAATATTGAATATGGCTAGACCACTTAAGACGGTAATCAAAGACCACTCCTAAATATTTGAATGACTCTACTTTTTCAATAGATTCGCATGTACAGTTGGCGTCGAGGTAATCACCACAGCTGCGAATGACGAGATTTTCTAGATTATAATCAGATTTTAAACTTAAAGAAATTGGCATAAACTTAGTTTTTGAAGAATTTAAAGAGAGTATATTCTGGTTTAACCATAACTTGGTTTCCATTAGGTCGTGCAAAGCTTTGTTTCGGGACTCAAGCCAAGTTTTGCCGCTGTTCAAAATTAAAGTGTCATCAGCAAATAAGAAAAGCTTACCAAAAATATTAAGTATTGAAATATTATTTATATATATTAAAAATAAAACAGGCCCAAGTGTACTGCCTTGAACCACTCCATAGTTAACATATTCAATATTACTGTTGGTGTTAAGTATTGATACAAGTTGAGATCTTTGAGACAGATAACTTTTAAACCATTGAAGTGCGTTACCCCTTCAATTATTATTTATTAATTATTATTATTTATTAATTTATTAATTATTAGTTATTTGAATAGTATAATCTCAGTTTGTTAAAAATGGATTGTATATTCAACAATTATTGCAGTCCATTATATTGTTATGAAGTATGGTCCCAAATTATTGTTTTTGATTTTCAAACATCACAGTTCATTTGAAAAAATTAAAGTTAAAACGTAAATTTATTTATATCTTGGATATGGAATTTAGTTTTAGATATATTTACTCAATTCTAATTACGTTATTCTATTTGTTATGACCTAAGAACCTTCAGTGAAATACCATAGCTTTCATTTGAATTATTGATTACTAAGATCTGACGTACATAAAGCACACTGCTAAATCAAGAACAACTTAATTTTTTTTTTTATTGAGTTATTTATCATTGATTTATAGTCAAATGGTCTTGCTTGCAACCTCAACAGCAACTGTCAGACTTTGACGGGTTTCACCTAGTAAATCTTTAAAAAATCAAACTTTCATTGCTATTTGCAAATCCACACTAATTAGGCTTTCCAATGACCTATTAATTAATAAAATCGGTTCAGTAGAACAATGGTAGAACTGTAGATTTAATTGTACAAAGTTAAACAAAAAAATCTTTAGTTCAGTATTTTCTCACCATTATAAATTTGGAGGTTGCTTAACGTTTTTGCAAATAAATTTAAAACGAGGTGTTAGCCCGTCCTACGTACGGGAGTAGTCAGTTAAAACTGTGTATACTGTAAATCAGAACAGCTAGCTTACACGTATAAAGACAAATTTTATAGCAGCCTACAGTAGAAAGAGTAATTATCAATTGAGAAAGTGTTTAGGCCTAGTCAACGATATCACCTTCCATTTCTATCGCATACCTGCCTCTGCCATAATCAATATCAACACAATACAATTACTCATACCATACACAATTTCCAGTAGGTCTGAATATAAACTCCCTAAAATAAAACTAAAACATCCAATAAAATTCACAGTACACATAATTATAACGTTGGTGTCCTGACATCATTAAACGAATCGTCCACACATATCCTTTATATCAATTTCACTGCATCAATTGCTAAATAAATAAGTGTAAACAAAGAAAAGTAAAAACAACAACATTAAGTTTGTTTTGGTAAACAGCTGAGTCAAAAATAAAATAATATTCATTTGAACAAAAGAACTGGTCACATGTTAAAGGAATTTAAAACGTAAAACACGCTAGTAAAGCTAGTGACGTAATTAATTGTCTATGTTTATTATCCATCCCGTTATCAGTTCTAATATCCTTATTAATTAAACCACCCTCATTGAATCAATGTACACCCTAATTCCCCATATTCATTTATTTAAACTATAAAATATTCAGCGCCTCCAAAGGTAACCACAACTAAACACACGCCAAACAACTTTTTAGATTTCATAAAAGGATGGTTAGTCTAATTGCAGTATCCTAGGTCAATGATGACGTTGTGCTCAATCTATGTCATTCATATCTGTATATCTTTGGATAAAACCCGTCTGGGTTGTGGTGGTAATTTAAAATTGTATTCCTAAAGATTCTTGATCTCCTTCTTAATGACATCAATAATTCCGGGCCTAATCCAAACAAAGTTTAATCATTCAAAAACATTGATTGTAAACAAACCAAGACGAATTAAAACGTGTAAAATTGGATTTTCCTACCCTTTCCTAAAAAAGTTTAGCAGTATAATAATTTGCATATCCTTTTTTTAACACTCGTGTACAGAGCCTCGACTTGTATACATCGATGGTGTTACCTTTCTCGGTGGTCTACTAATCTTACTTATTTCCTAAAAATCAATGACAAATCAGAGTAAAAAAAATAACCTCATAGTTCTACAGAGCATTTTTATATTTAACCAGCTGTTAGTTAAAAGAAAATTATATTGCACTAAAACAAACCGAAGATTACAAAGATTATTTAAAAAATCCTTTGAACATCCTAGTATTATACCTATGTATATTTAAATAATCTTTCACCCTCTTATCGAAGGATTGAACGTATTAATGATTAGCATTACACATAGTATAAATAAGTCAACTCTTAGTATGTCTTTTAATTTTATCCAAATGCTGAATTTATGACACAAAAGCTGAATGTTTACAGCTGTTGAGTTAAACAAATTATTTTATGCCAAAAGCTAGTTTAGAATCTTAGCGTCGGCTGCTAGACTTTAAAAAAATTAAAACTTAATTTCTAAAAAACTGGGACCCTAAACTAAAATTATGGCTTCGACATTCCCTAGTTCTCAAAATTATCTTTCTTTCAACACAAAAATCATGAAAATCCGTCGAGTGGTTGATTCAGAATCGTGAAATAAAAAAACACTATTTCGTTTTAATATTATAGATTGTGAGGAAGTCGACCAAAGTGGAAGGTGATATTCTGATACAGAATAAAATTTCCTACAACTTACTATTATGTATTTCTGGAAAATACTCAATAAAGGCAGGCTAAAGCTGGCTACAAATATAAACTTGGAAATATAAACTTGAAAAAAAGGTGTTATAAATGTAATATTGTTTATTTTTATTGTTTCACCTCAAATATGTAATAAAATCAAACTTTCATAATTATTTGCAAATCTACATAAATTAGGCTTTCCAACATTAAGTAATAAAATCGGTCCAGTAGAAGTCTAGATTTAGTTGTACTAAGTTAAACAAAAATATATCTAATTTGGTATTTTCTCACCACAATTAATTTGGAGATTAGTTAGATTATTGCCAATAACTTTTAAATGAATGGGAAATCGACCAAAGTTGATGTGATATTCTGAAAGAGAATAAAATTTACTACAAATAACTAGGTGTAGTAATCCTTACAGAAAGATTGGTAAAATTAAAATTATCAGTATTAAGAATCAATTTTTCAGATGTCTGTATGGAGATTCTATAAATTTTGCTATCGACATATCACTATTGTTAAGAAGTTATTGATAAATTGCAGGCTTAAGAATTAGTTTTTACTTTTCGGATTATTTAATCAGTAATATATAAAAATTGCATACTTGTGTCAAGCAATATTACAAAAATAATATTATAAATTTTGTTTCTTTTACTGAGAATGCTTTTTCCGATAACTAAAATAGCAAACTATTTTAGCGCTTAAACAGCATTGCGGGAGTTGGCTTAAAAACATGTTGGAAAGTTTAGTACTGAAAAGTACGACCTGAACTACCTGGAATTACTCATGAATTTTTTTCTGGTTGGCCTAGTGGACACCATGACTAATCACCGGAGAACTATGTTTAGATTGTGAAACGTGTTTGTCTCAACCTAAGGAACAATTTATATCAAATGTTTCAAAGTGTTCCGGGACACCCTGTATAGTAACAGGATTTCTTACACAAATTTTGTCTCAACCTAAGGAACAATTTATATCAAATGTTTCAAAGTGTTCCGGGACACCCTGTATAGTAACAGGATTTCTTACACAAATTTTGTTATTTCATTCCAAAAAGTTCTTCCCTTGAATAGCCCTAATACCTCGAGTGTTCTGTTGCAGATGTGGAGCTCGTCTTCACCAGTTGCTAGAGAAGCTATGTGAGGAGCGCGGCCTACAGCTGTGTGAGGAGGACAGAGCCCCCGTCACAAAAAAACCCCGCCTCTCTGTGTAGACCTCACCCATTTCTCTGCAGACTTATAATATTTTCAACACAGCCAACTTTTGTGCTTTTTGTTGAATACTATATTTTAGCAAGAATTCAATTTTTAAAATTGTAAAGAACGGTGTGATCTGTTTGATCCAACTCAAGCCTAGGTTTTTAAATGCCAAAATAATGGTTTTTATTGATTATTCCATAAAAAATGTATTCTAGTTAATTCGGTATTCAACTTTAATATTTGTCTACATTACACCAAACAAGAGTTGGAAAATTCAATGCATACCTATTGTAAATCTACCCTTTCCAGCTATTTTCTGGTACTTTGGATATATTATTTACGCCTTATGTTTTAAGTTATACTGTATCACTATTTAGTAGGTTTTTTTAATTAGTATATAATATAGGTATAAATAACGAGTATTAACACTATCTTTTTTAAAAATTCCCTTGTATATATATTTTAATCCTTAATTAGATAGTTTATTTATTGCATACAATTCCATTTATAAATGGACTTTTATATTGTTGATAATATATGTTATTTAAAGTCAAGTTTGTCTGTGTTAATCTAGTAATAAACATTGATTTTGTTTTATTGACAAAATTTATGATCACAGTGAGTGCTTCTAAGATATTAGTGAAAAATTACATGCTGAAAGTTTTAAGGAATCTAAAGTTAAAAATTATGAACAGATTTTTAGTTATAACATTTCACAAAACGAAAATTGGCTTCCTTGAGTAACTTTTTGTACTGTACACATAAGGGAGTTAGACGCCACGTTGAGCGCGCGTTAGCAAGATGTAAAACCGTACCCATGACAGCGCTAGATACGGCATTAGTTGAACCAGTTTACTACTCTAGTGTAAACAACTAGCTCTTTTATGGAGCTAGAAGAGTATGTCTTTGGTTGTTATATCATAGATACAAGTCAAGGCTAAGAAAGATGCAATAATTCATGTTGTAAAACTCATTCAATTTTCTAAGCAGAATTTAATTAATAGAGGTTTCTGAATATTGGAGCCACTGTCCAATAATAATATAGAACAAAATTTTAAATTTAGCAGGTAGCAATGTCAAAATAATTTCATTTTTTATCACAAACTCTCTTTTTAAAACTTCATTTCTGTAATCTGGACACTCCATGTCCCAGATACATCTTCTCTTTTTGACTTATCAATAAACAATTCTGTGTCAAACGCTTCCGCATCCATTTATACACATTACACAAACAGATTACAAAACACAATACCCCCGCCGCAGTAAACCTGCAGACTAAGCGAATTTCCATTTACCGGGCTGGATTTCTACTAAAATATTCCCATAAAATTGTCAGATTTATTTTCTATTTAAATAAAATTAACTTTAATGAGTACAGGTTTGCTGTTAGAGGGAAGGTATTGAGGTGTTTTTTTTATATGTTGATAGCTTAGAATACAATAAACAAAATTTACAAAATTGATAAAAATATATCTATAAACAAGCAAACTACAAAAGTTTTTTATTCTCCATAAGAAACATATGGGAATTTTAAATTAAAATTTTTTTTTTATTATCTCCATACCCGTTAGGCATACAACAACGCTTCAACAATAAAAATTATCTCTTTTTTAAGCTCTACAAAATAGTTTGGAAAGAAATTGTGAAATGTTGTGTTTTTAGGGTCAAAAATGGGAAAACCCAATTTTTACCCTATAGAACCTCCCATAAACCTCTGTTCCCATAGTCCTGCCCATAGATCATGCTGGTTCGCAAACTCCTTCAATTAAACGTAAGTTTACTCATTTAAACAAAATTTCATCAAAATCGGATAATTTTTTCTTGAGTTATCGCGCTAACGGACACACATATATATATATGTGAATTTGAATAGAGGGTGTTTTTGGCCTCTGGGGACCTCAAAACAAAAAAATAAATCGGTCTCGGGTCTAGGTCGAACCATGAGACCTACGGTAATAGCTAATTCCCTATATGGGAATTTTGCTAAAAATTACTTCACCTCGGACCTAGCCTAAAGCACGCACTCGACTAACCACACATGACTTCAAAGCTCAGTTTAGTAACTCAAAGTGGGAAAATAACAAGCGTTGTGTTTTGGCGAGTTGGTTCAAAGTGCCAGGTATTTCCTTGGTACTTTTGATAACACGCGTTTGACAAATGTGGTCCACGTCTACCACCCTCATGTGTTATGAGCGCTTTCTAAGTAAGATTATCAATGTTTTGATATGAATTTATAAAATCTAATTATGTTTTTCGCTCAAACTTTTGAAACATTGACTTGTGATTCAAGAGGGATAACATTGATGAAAAAAATGGCTTGATAATTTTTCTATTACTATTCAGAGCTCAATAATAGCAGATATCAGCCAAAAGCTTTATTCAAAAAGCCAACAACCATATTCTTGGATGGTTTGCTGTTTTCATTTATATTTTAACTAGGCCTACATTTTTTTATTAGATTTACTCTTTTGTAGTATATTTTTTTGCTACTCGATTTTCTTGTTTACGATTTAATTTATGGTGTTAAATACTGATAAGAGAAAATAATTAAAAACATTTTGGCAATTTTTAAATCAAGAAAGTTTTGTCACTAAATTATTTGTATAAATGTTATACCAAAATGAATGTGTCTAACTTAAAATAAATTTATTTTTTTGCAATTTCGATGTTTTATTACTTTGATCTAAATTTAATGTCCATGAAGTAATAACATTGTTACTGGACCAAGATGCCACTTGTCATTGAGCTATCTAAAAACAAGACCAGGCTTTGGACCATTCCCTAACAACAACAAAACATTAGCGCTAATGGTGTAGATACACGAAAAAGTGACAACTATTAATATATAGATTTCATTTTGTTGCATGGGCAAAATTTGAATATATTTTTCAATGTTATCTTTTTGTAAAGAATGAATTGATAGTTTTTAAATCTACGTACCAAAACCATCAGATTCAACAAGGTTTGTAAATTTGTCCATAGAGTTGTTAGTTTTCTTCTTATCTTATAATTCTTTTTTTAGAAGTCTAAGCTAAAATGTCAACAAATTCACTATTCCTGGACCTTGACAGATTTATTTTTTATTTCAAGCAGATAAAGTTAAGTACAAAGTAGGTGGGGACTTTCTCAACAATTAATGCCTTGACTGATATGAATTCCAGTTTGTAATAGCTTTACTGAATTTGGGATTTTTATTATGCCATATATTGAGAGTCTAGGGAGCTTACATCTCACCACATCAATATACTGCTATCAATCGGGTGTTTTTGTGGAAGAAACATAATAATGAGTTTCAGCTTTATATATATTTTTTTAAATATGTTCTGGACTATCTTGAGAACGATCTGAAGACCCGTTTCAGGGCTTGACAGAAACTAATTAACATTAACATTTGACATAACTAATTAACATTTGATTCATATTAGAAGTCCATATAGCATTCCTCCCATGAAAGTATCATGCCACATTCTCACTTTTCATTCTAGATAATGTGTCAGAAGACTTAAAAAAAATGTGTCAATATGCCAGTAAATATTTTTTTTTCACTATGTTATTTTTTATTGTTCCTTCATTTTCTTCTGCACGAAATGCAACATTTTTATGTTAAAAAGTTTATCTAATAAAATAGTCATTTTATGTGTTGTTGTATCTGTCCTTTTACATCCTGTAGTCAATAAAAAGTGTATTGTGTTGACTAAAATTGTCGTCCCTATGTTGTACAAAAAATTTCCTGCTGTATGACTCTAGTCAACTCTAGTAGTTATGTTTATCTTATGACTATCCAAATGTAAGGTGAATGTGGGACATGTGATATTCTAACGGACTTGCTCACCACAACAACGAGTTTTAGAAAACCAAAACTAGCCTAAAACCATTTAAATAAATGTAAATTATTATTATATCAATTATTTAAGATGGGGATGCCACTATGTGCGTATTTTAACCCAAATATGAGTGTAGGATGAGTGGCGCGATCTTGTAGTCTTGTTAGTGAATAGACCGACGTATTCCTTAGACAGCTGTTAATTAATAGCCCATACAGCTAATGGCAACTAAGGGACCTACAGTTTATAGTGGAATCCGAACCACATTTTTCCTTGTAATTAACAAATTGGTCTAATTATCAGGATAATACTGCGGATAGTCATAGTACTCACTAGTGCGGACGTTAATCCACACCAGGGAGCATCGCATCCGCAGTGCATGCCTATAAATATCCACAATTCGTGACCTCCTAGTAGCTGGATTACAGGACGATGCCACCCGTCCCAGTCTATTGAGTTGTAACAATGAATACAAACCCTTTAAGAAGCGCAATGCCTTTGTAAAAAATTCAGTCTGGAAATATTTGAATTTTGGATAGTTCCCGTGGCGGCCGCTAGGTAGACTCGTGAGCGCGCGGCCAAGTCAGCTGACTGAGTGAGACAAAGAATTAGCATAGAGAGAGAGAAAGATAAAGTAGCGCAGCCGCCACACGAGGGATCCTAATGGCGACTGTGAGTAGCTTATTTCGGCGGCAAAATTCCAGTCTGATTCCAGTCTGATTTTATTATTCTCCATAAGCATTTTGCTTCTAAAGGGTTTGTTTTCATCGGTTGTAAGGTTACTCAGAGTGAGAAAAACTACTTCAATAAACCAGATTTTTTGGCCTTTTTCATTTATTTACTAGCGTTACCCAGCGTGCCATGCTGTGTCTAACAGCAATTATTTTAAATGTTAATCTGTTGTTTACAATAAATAATAAAGTATATCATGCCAAAAAATAATAAAATAGAACAAAAATGGAGTATTTTATTTTAATTTAATGCCAGTGGATAAACAATGTTTTTGTTTTTTCATTAGATGTATAAATATATTAGTGATGTACGGATCCAAGAAAATTATCTTTAAAAATTAGGATCCGGATCCAGATATGTACTTTATAAGAACAGGTTAAAAAAACGTACAGAAATACAATTTAAATCATACTGGTTAAAACTAAATTGGTAGTGTTTAAAGGTTGATGTAATAATATATAGAATCCTGCAAGTGTCGCACAGCGTTGGGGTACGTGAATTAAGCAATTTGAGAGGTATGCTTTAGCTGCAGACATTACCAATGATGTAAGGAAAACTGCACTACTACTTAATCTAGCTGGCGAGGACGTGGCTTACATTTTTGACAGCTTAGCACAACCTAATGAAATAACATACAAAAATGTGATAAAATTATTAACTGACTATTTCGCTCCTACCAAAAATGTCCTTTTTGAAATATTTAATTTTAGGAAGTGTTGTCAAGCAGAAGCAGAATCGTTTAGCTCTTACTATTCTCAGCTAAGAACATTAGCTGTGAACTGTGAATCAAATACTTGGATAGGGAATTAATTATGCAAATTTTGATTGGATGTAGGAGTGATGAGTTAAGAAATAAAATCTTGAAAGAACCTACTATTAAACTTCAGGATGTTGTTATTGCAGCTAAGTCAAATGAACTATTTCAAACTCAAAGTAAGGAACTTACTTTTAGTAGCTCATGATTTGCTAACGCACATAAAATTGACCATTCAAACAGGAAATTAGCATTGAACAACAGTCCAGCTCACTCTGATACGCCTAATGTTTGTCTTGGTTGTGGACTAAGACATTTTAGAAGGGATTGTCCCCATCTTCAGACTACTTGTAATATTTGCAAGAAAATCGGGCATCTAGCACGAGTTTGTAAAGGAGGGAGACCACGCCCCAAAGAATATTTCAACCAAAAACACGGATCAAAGGGACAATGGGCTCATGAAGTTTTGTCAAAAGAAACCAATTGTGAACAAGAAGAAACGTTTCCACCTCAATCAAGTAACGAAACAACTCAGTACGTCCAGGAAGTTAATTGCTCTAAAGTTCCGGAACGGTGTACAACTGTCAACATTAATAATCACAAAGTTCTAATGGAAGTTGATACTGGTGCAGGTGTTTCTATCATAGGAGGGGAACTATGGAATAAAATTTCTCATAAAAACTGTAAACTGCAACCTTCTCCCTGGAAACTCAAGGATTACAGTGGTAAACCTGTAAGTGTTTTAGGTCAGACTAATGTTTACGTGAAATACGGTAAGTTCAATGGATTCCTTCCGTTAGTCATAACTGAAGGCAATAGAAATAGTTTATTGGGGTGTAACTGGCTAAAATGTCTAAATATTGAAGTAAACGGGGTACTTTCACTCAACTGCCATGAATCTGATGTTCTAAGTAAAGCCCAGCTGGATGTTCAACATCTGAAAAGTGAATTTTCTGATGTATTTTCAAATTCTTTATGTTATAAAGGGCCTCCAATTGAGCTGAAAATTGACCAGAATTATAACCTAATTCACTTAAGAGCGTGCGCGCCCTTTACCTTATGCATTGCAGGCCCCAGTAGAAGAAGAGCTGAATAAGTTAGTTAATCAGGGAGTGTTAGAACCTGTTCAGGTATCGGATTGGGACACGCCAATAGTTGTTTCAGTAAAAAGCAATGGTAAAATACGTATTTGCGGTAATTATAAGGCAATGTTAAACAAAGCTATCCAAGATCACATAGTGTTAGTGAGTCGGTAATGCATACCAGACTTCCGTTGTGGGGACTTTGGGCCCAAGGCAGCGATGTCGTGGGTTCGGATCCTGGTCACTGTCAATACATTTTATCAGTACAGTTCACCTTTGTACTGTACCAGCTCACTCCTTGCTTTGCTGTTAACGATCCACGCACGGGCAGTTAGTCTATGTGGACGGGCAAATGCAAGGTTAAAAGAGGCTGCCAACCTCTTTTTTTTTAAAAATACCCCCGCCGCAGCAAACCTGCCGACTAAGCGAATTTCCATTTGTCTGAATTGATTTTCAGTTAAATATATTTTATAACATTAGGTTTAACGAGTACCTAGGTTTGCTGCTACAAGGAAACTAATAAAGTGTGTTTTTGAGTAAAATATTGATAGCTTAGTACAAAATAAATAAATTTGCCAAGTTTGATCAAAATATATCCTTAAACAAGCAAACTACAACATTTGACAATATTCTCCATAAGAATAACATGGGAATTTTAAATTTACAATTTTTTTAATTTTCTCCGTTACTAATAATCGAACAAAAATACTTTTATATACTAAATTATTTGTTTTTTTAAGCTCTTTAAAAAGGTCTAAAGAGAAATCGGGAAATTTTGTGTTTTGAGGGTCAAAAGTGAGAAAAACCTATTTTTACCCCATAAAACCCCCCGTAAAGCCCCGTTCCCATGGTCCGATCGTGCTGGTTCGCGAACTCATTCAAGTTTATTCCGCTTTACACCTTTAAACCAAATTTCATCAAAATCGGACAAAAATTACTCAAGTTATCGATCGCGTTCACGGACGTATATCTAATATATAAAATTCTCGTGTCACAGTGTTTGTCTGCAAACTCCTCCGGAACGACTTCACCGATCGTTATGAAATTTGGTGTGTGAATTCTGTAGGTATGCGAATCGGACGTAAACTATTTCCCGTTTCGAAATTCTTAAAAGGGCTCCGCCCCAGTGGCTCTGGAGTTTCCCATGTTAACCTTATGAGAAATGGAATTAATGAATCTTAACAGCTGTTTCAATTAAACAAGTTGGTTCTGTTCTATGATGTTCAATAGCATTAAAGTTACAAGGATTACCAACAGGGTGCAGCACTATTATTTCTTTTACATTTATGACAACAGCTAATTTGCAACCAAAAGGTGAGTGAGCGTAGCGAACGAACTTCAACCTGGAGGCGAGTTAGCGTAGCGAACGAGCTAACCTGAAGGCAAGTGAGCGCAGCGAACGAGCTCCAACCTAAAGGTGAGTGAGCGTAGCGAACGAGCTCCAACCCAAAGGTGAGTGAGCGTAGCGAACGAACTTTATCCTGGAGGCGAGTTAGCGTAGCGAACGAGCTAACCTGAAGGCAAGTGAGCGCAGCGAACGAGCTCCAACCTAAAGGTGAGTGAGCGTAGCGAACGAGCTACAACCCAAAGGTGAGTGAGCGTAGCGAACGAACTTCAACCAGGACGTGATTGAGCGATGCGAACGAGATCATCTTGAAAATTAAACGTAACGGTACTTTCTTTCCATCGGTCTGTCTTAGGGGAAACCTATAACTTAGGCGATACGAAGTTCGCCGGGTCAGCTAGTATATATATATATATATATATATATATATAAGTCTATATATATATACATATATAAAAATTTGAACGAATGGTGTTTTTGGCCTCTGGGGACATCAAAATGAAAAAGTAAATCGGTCCCGGGTCTAGGTCTTACCGTGCCACCTACGGTAATAGCTACTTCCCTATAGGGAAATTCGCTAATAGCTACTTCCCTATAGGGAAATTCGCTAAAAAAGATCATCTGTACCCTATTCCACCAATCTCTCAGCTCTTAGCCAAATTAAACCAAGGGAAATATTTTGCTAAGTTAGATTTAGCCCAAGCTTATCAACAATTGGTTGTTGACGAGGAGTCGGCGCTAGCTCAGACACTAATCATACGCAAGGGTGCTTTTAAACCAAAAAGACTACAATTCGGTATTAGTTCAGCTCCATCTATATTTCAACATTTTATTGAGGTTTTGCTTTTGGGCTTAGACAGTGCAATCCCTTACTTTGATGATATCCT